AAAAGTTTACATGAAAAAGCGATATAAAATTCGTATGCGAGTTTAGAAAGTATGATGCATAGATGATCGATATAGGGAAACGGTTGGTAGCACAGGTAATACCATAACTGAAACGGTGTCGACTCACTGACATGCATAAAATCCCCTTCTCAGGGAGTGGGCACGAAAAGATTTCACCTGGATTTCTTCAAGGTTTGATTGTTCTGAGTCACTCAGGTTTTTCCCATAGTTTCATTTTCGTAGGCAGCTTCGTTTTACTGGCATGAAGTCTATGAAGCTCTTTTTACTATTGATTGCTTAACCAGCCATTTCAGAGTTCATGACAAGGCTGTTGCAACCTGCCATATCAGCGATGGCGCATGTGCTCTAACGCGTTTTGCTTTGGTGCACATTGGCCTAGTTTCGTCGTCGTTATCATTGGCAGTAAGGTTCGATTCGTTGTGAATTTTACTGATAAGTATCAGTACATGTTACCATGCGTTGAACCATGGATTAAGAACCGAAGGCCACTGACTGTTATCCAAGCAGGCTATGAATCGATACATCCTTCCACATCAATTTGAAACATCATTACAGATCCAAAATTTTTTAGTATCGGTTCGTTGACACATTTTTCTCAGATGTATATATAGACTATATATGTATATAACGTTTCTCATTTTTCAGTTCCTCCTTCCATCGTCGTTCCACCAAAAAATGTAACAAGTACCGAAGCGAATGATGTTTATCTTGAATGCAACTCTTCTGGAATACCTCAGCCTTCTATATCATGGTACAAAAATGGCGAACTTTTGAAGCCTTCTGAGTATTTCGTGGTAAGTGTTTTTCTTTGCAAGGTCTTGGTTTTTGCAACAAGGAATCGTTTTTTGTGAAATTCATTGTTCATCGTTTGAAATAGTTGGGCAACGACGCAATCTCAAATAAGAATTAAGAACGTGCGCAGAGTCGCATAATTCGTTTAACTGCGAATTTCCAGAATTTGTTGCGTTTAGTCAAGTATATGTACTACTGTATCTCCTGATGTTACATATACTGTCTACTACTGTTTATATGTACTGAAACGGCTACAACTGCATTTTCGTTGGAAATATAGTCTATTTCTTTCGACAGGATGACGAACTTTCTTGGCAGTAATCATCTGCTGCTTAAAGCGGTGAGGTTTACAGACAGCTTTTGAAAAGGAGCAGTTCCTTAAAATCGAGTTTGGTACCTAGCCCTTCAGCAGAACCACAAGCATATTTTTGTACTACTTACTTTACGTTAAGTTTTTCTTCTCGAAAGCACGCAAATATTTTACAATGTCAGTGATTAGTTATGAAATAGTCAGCATTAAATATTACTGTGCTTTTACTGATAAAACATGTTTATGGTTGAACTTATACTATATTCCTCCTTTTAACCGGTTTCTTAATCCTAATGATCTATTCACCTCGAACTTGTCCAAAGGTTCTTATTAATAAGATGTGTTATCCTTCATCTTCCATGGCCGCTACTTCTTTCTAGTCGCGGCGGCAGACGCGTCACATGGAGCTTCCAACGTTTCCCACCCCGCGTCCTTCCGTATATTTGCGCCAGGTTGATTTTGGCCGTAGCCTGTGCCTTCTGCCCGACGGTTCGGCATGAAACAGTTGCTTCGCCTTCGTTTCTGGAGGCATTCGCAGCACATGGCCAAACCATCGCAGCTGTGACTTCTCAATCTGGAGAAGCAAAGGCTGTTCTGGATGTCACTCTTCCGGACCATGTCGAGACGCGTAAGGCCACCGACTCGTCTAAGAAAGCCCATTTCAGCAGCTTGTAGCAGGGTTCGAAGTTTTTCAGTGATGGTCCACGATTTATGACCGTAGGTA